GCATCATGTTATAATTAAACTGAAAGCTGAGCATTAAGGCAGGTGACCCTGAGCTATTACACTACGTGACTGTAGTTCTGATTCGGTGTTATATAAATAAATTTGAACTGCCCTATGATGCTTAAGTATCAATCTAAAATAATGAAAGCTGAAATTTAATTGTAGAAGCAAATAGACATGAGGAGGTTTAAAAGTTAAAAGTTAGATAATATTAATGGACAAACACAGGTAAGTTTAATAGACAGTCATAAGAAATCCAAGAAATCTTTAAAAATAAATAAATAAATAGGTAGCAGGTGATTCAGGAGGTAAAGTGGGTTGTCAGCTAATCAAAAGGTTGGTCCGATCCCTGTGCATGTCGAATTATCCTTGGGCAAGACTCTAAACCCTCTGAAGTCATTTTTTCTACTTCAGTTGTGTTTTATTTAACCCTTTGCCCTCATATTTTCTATGCTTTTGCAATGTTTGTCGATTTGCTATTGCAAGTTTGGCCTCTCGTTATGGTCTCATCATTCAATACTGCCTATTGGATGAACAAATTAAATTAACCACCTGGGGACAGAGCTGAAATAACTATCTGAAAACTAAAAAAATAATATATATATATGGCTAGCAGTTAAGAGTTGGTCTAAATTTAATACACAATAGTTAAAACCAATAAACCAAAAATCAAATAATTAGCTTTAGCTCTGATTAGCAGCTGTTAGGTACTTACCTACTGTTAGGTAACAATGTAAAATTAACAAATTAAATTGTTAGAAATATACTGAAAGAACACCTGAAATGTCTAGTTAAAGTTCTGTATGTAAAAAAAAAGCTAATTAGTAGCTAAAAGCACAGTTAGCAGGTGTATTTTTTTATTTAATATTTTTGGCCAAAAGAGTAAGTAAACAAATTAAACTATTAGCTGAATTAAATAGTTAATTAAAATTATTCCTAAAAGGAAAAGTAGTCAACATCAAATTTAAAATTGGCTGAATTAAACACATTTGAACATGAAGTTTTGATGAAGCATTAGATTAAAAATGTTAGGAACCACTGATCTGTTTGAATGAGTTGCTTTTAATAAAAGGCAAACACACTGTAAACACTACCAGATTTTACTATGTACTAAAAAGCACTATCCAATGGATAGTGGACTTTGTCACTTTTGGACAGTGAGGCTCTCAGCAATGACTTAGTTTTCTCCTGTTACGATACTGCAGACAGAGAGGCATTCATACTACATTTATAGAGAGCGCTGCTGCCATTACACCTTCAGACACCCTTGTAGACAGAGTTTCAATGCATTTTTCACATCTATGGTAACAAATGATATTTCTCAAGCGCATTGATGAGGTGTGCTTGTGCATCTCAGAGTCAATTATCCACAGATATATGAGGGGTATTTGAAGTTTCTCTGGCATGAAGCTATGCATTTGTAACAAAGTTACATGAGTTTTCTGAAAGGTTTTATTACTTCCATTAAAAAACATTTAATTAAAACCTAAACAGTTACCACTGACATATCCTTCTATATTTCACAGGATGGGGCTTTCATCATCTGCTATTATGATTATTGTTTGTTTTTTAAGGACCTGAGTTCACGATGCAGGAGGCATAAAATCAACATTTTTTGCTGATAACCCAAAAGACACGCAGTCCAAAATCTTTGAATTCATGGAGGTATGATCAACAATAATCCAAACATTCAAAAAGTACTATGAAACAGAAACAAGAGGACTGTTGGAGCAGGGATATACAGCATACTAGTACAACATAACTCTGAACAATGTAATGACAGGACTGTTTATACACACACACACACACCCCAACACAGATTTGAACACATGAGGAGGTTAAATCCCACACAACGAACAGCAGGTGAACACAAGCAAGAAATCACTGAAGTTGGAAAGTAAAACTAAAATGGAACAAACCTACAAAGTAAAACAGGAAATAAAGAAAGGAGACCAATCCTAACCCTAAACACAAAGAACTGCACTAATCTCTAAAAAGACAAACTAAACAGAAATCAGGTCACAAGAGAATAACAAGAAAATAATAACAGAAATCCAAATGCAAATATAAGAACTGAAAAGTTGAGCAGGATCCCAAAAAAATAGAAAAATAGTTTGCTAGAAATTTAAAATAAAAACAAGCCATAATAATCATAATCTTAATCTTTATTCTACTAGAATAAAGACAAGACAAGAATCCCAGTTTCCAAGTTATATGGCTTTATGTCCATTTTAACAAATAAATCATTAAGTTGACCTTGAACACTTTGGTCGATGCAAGCCAAATTTTAACAGGTCGTTAACATGACCTCACTCTACACCTCTGTAAAGTTTAATCATTTAAAAAAAAAAAAAACTTTTCGAGCCATCTTATTTACTGACACAGTGATGACATACACACACACAATTGCTACCAAAAACATGACGTCCTTGCTGGAAGCAATGATGAAAGTAAATAAACCAGAATAAAAGCACAACCTTACATTCAAAATACTCTAGAATAAAAATTCAAAGAACAGACTGCAGCATAATACAAAAGGACACGAAGAACCCAAAAGAACAAACAAAAAAACCCCACAAGCTACGTGAAGCCAAATATAAATACTAAGCTAACAGAAATAAATGATTAGATTTCAACCACAACAGCACAGCTCAAAAAATACATCACAATGCCCGTCCCAGGCATCGAGACAGGCATTTTGATGGGACAACATACACAGACTCCTATGATATGCATGTAAGCCTAGAAAGATCAATCTGGGAACTCATGGATTATAGTTTAATGATTTCAGAGACAGCAGACAATATTTCAGGGCTTCTAGTAAAGCCAAGACAACCAGATAATGAATAACAGATAGCTGATTAAAGACTGCCTGCACACTGTTTACAACTGCTGACAAATTTCAAGAAGCTGTGATTTCCTCAAATGTTTTGTGATCATTACTCAGATTACAAAAGATCATCTTGGTATCAAAAATCTTCCCTACAGATTCTGACTGTGTATATGCAGGACTGTGTTTATAATGACTATCAAATACAAGACAATAAGTGAAAAAATAGCTTTCCTTCTTTTTGTGTAGCAAATTAAGCACTCAAGACAGATTTGAACTGACACGTAAACTGTGATTAACAGCCTTCTACACTTAAAGCGTTTTGAATTCACTTTAGTAGCATCAAAAAGCCAGATTTGATTGGAATGAAAGCTCTTTTTTTGGAACAATGACTGCACCACAAAGAAACCCTGTTTTAATGCTGCTTTTATAATGCAGCATGTGTATGATGGCAAATTGTTTTGCTCAAAACCAACGGGAATTGCAGCAATCTTTTACAAACGCGCTTCTGCCAAGGGGAAAAAATGCATTAAGAACAAGGCAGTGTACACGGGAACAGTTGCCTAAATGACTGATTGTGGCAGGGTCACAGCTGAGAGGAGAGATTTCAACAATATGTGAAGCCAAAAAAAAAAAAAAAATGCAGCAGAAAAATCATCTCTGACTGCAGAAAGAGCTTTTAAAAAAGCTGCTATAAATTCAGCACAGGGAACAACAGGAGAGCGTCGATTCAGCACACAATGCCAGAGTTACTGAATGATTTACTAGGGCCATAGGTCATTCCCACTTAGAATTGCTTTATGATTGTGTGCTAAGTGGCGTTTTCAGACTGTGGAACAGAGTCAAAGTAGTGACTGACACAAAACCCCCGTACATTTTTACGCTCGATGCCAAAGAATTAACAAAATCTCATGAAATAATTAATCCAAGTTAAACTAATACCATGAAAAATGTTTGTTTTTAACTCGGAGCTACAGACGACCTTCACCTGATCAGGCAGAGTGATTTAACACAGGTGGGCTGCAGTCAGTGAGATGCTGTTGCTTGTTATCTATCGTGATTAACACTCGAGCGGGTCGAGTTGAGGGTACAGACTGTGAGCAACAGAGGTGGGAGAGGGCTGTGCATCAGCAGATGGCCAGAGACTAACGAGAGGCTGCGCGGACAACCATCAGCCATGAGATGCTTTAACAAGTCACTCCTGGTGTTTCAAAGTCCTCTGCCACTGACAGCTGATGGATATAGCTGCTGTTCTCTCACACAGCAGGTTCATCAGAGTCCCAAGATAATATGCAATTATCTCTCAGTTTCAGTCCATGTAGCCATCATAATAAGGGCAAAGATCATAGTCTTACAGGCTGAGGCTACGCTAAAAGAAAGAATCCCCAAAAGCCTTTGCATGGGGTTCTTAGGCTTAAGGTTTTGGATCAACATTAGGGTTGAAAATGAAAAATAACTACAATCACAATCAAGTTGAAACCTCCAAGGCTGAAAAGTTATTGAGCTCTTCACATTCAACTTAACTCTTCCTTTAGTGCATTTATTAGCCTTTTTAGGCCATTTCGTTTTGTGAAATTACCTTCATTGGATTAAATTAGGTTTTCCTCATTTGCCTGCTGTAACATGGTTATTTCACAGCGTTTCACATCCTGTGAAATTACACCAACTGAGAAATGTTGCAAACTGCAGGTCCTCAAAGAGCTATTATAGGTCATGGGACAAAAGGCAACCCCGGACAGGTCGCCAGTCTGTTGCAGGACTAGATATGTACTGACAGTCTTTCCCTCTCACATTCTCGACTCTCCCCAATTTAGTCCTGCCAGTTAACCTAACCATGTCTTTCGATTGTGCCGGAGTACCTGGACACCTGGATATGATCGCTATGTCTCAAAAACAAACAAACAACAACCAAAAAAACAACTTTAAATTTTCAAAATGAGTCCATACAAACCTACTACCATCTTCTGCATACAGTCTTTTGTATCAGACGGTGTATAACATGTCAGAAATAACTGCAGTCACGCAGTAACATCGCTACGCTGCTTTGCTTTGTTTTGCAAATACACACATAAGAAGGAAGAAAGGAATTTTATCTCAATTCCATATTCATCCATTTGTTCTTTTAGCACCAATCCCCACTGATTCAAAAACATTTATTTTGTTGCTGTACCTGGTCAGTGGATATTTTTTTCCAATTGTAGCTTGGGGGTCCTGCTGGCGGATAGCACGGATAGCAGTGGGCGCTGTGAACATTGAAGAGACTCCATGTTCAGACAAGACACGGAAGAAGGCCCCGGAGTCTGGAGTCCCTACAGGTTTTCCCTGGAATCACACAGTGCAGCAACAACTTGTTACTTTACAGCTTAATTAAAGCGTGTGTATCATCGGAATTTGAATAATGAAAAGTAAGCACCAGAGATTACAGAGATTATTGTTATTGCCTAAAACCATTCCAGAAATATTTGTGCAATCTTAAGACTATAAACTGCAAAACATGAATATTTATACAACAGCTGTTTAAAATAAAAAGGCACACAGGAAGATTGACTATCCAGGCACGTGGGCATGAAAACACAGTTGCACTACAGAAGTACTGTCTGTCTAGAATAAAAGATAAAGACACTAGAAGCCTGCAGGCAAAGGTCTCCAGCAGCAATTTCCACTCTTTTTTATTTTCTCCCTGGTATTCAACTAAGCGAGCTCAACAGTGAGAAGACAACTGCGGAAGAATAAGAATGGATAAAAGGAGCAGTGAGTCCTGGCTGTCATTTTCACTCCAAATAAAGGGTTTGAAGATAGATGGGCTGCTAGAAACAAGAACCATGTGGAGCAACCACCGTGACCGAAGTCAAACACCGATTTAAGGAACGGCCAATTAATTCATCGTCCAATAGCGCTGCTGCCTCAAACTGGTGAGGGAATATCAGAGTGCAAATGTAAATGGTGGCCCTATACATAAGAACTACACTGAAAGACGCACTTCCTTCTTGATCCTTTGCTGAAATATAAAAAGAAACAACTTCAGATTTCAAGCCAAAGAAAAGTGCAGAATCTCAGGAATTGATTTAAGGGACAATCTGGGCCTGGAAAAAAGCACAGTCATCAATGCACTCTGTGTAAACAGAACTCCAGGTGATGCTTGCTTGTGACATTCACATGATGCATGCGTGGAGTCCAAAGAAGCCCATAATGAAGCACTAATACAACAGATCCTCTGTTTTAGGAGCTAAGCAAAAACACATGAAATAGGATAAAAAGAAATGCACAGATCATATGATCATGTGATATTACACTGATCATAAAGCCAACACTAATTACAAATTGCTATACGTTAATAAAAACCCTCTGTGTGAGCCATTTCGTCAAGGTTATTATTATATTATTAAAATTCCCATTTTTCCATGACCAGTCCCTCCCACTGCAAACTTATCTCCAATTTTCTCTATAATGAAAAGATGTTTTGCAAAAATTTAAGACCAAAAAGAAAGGATGGCTTATCTGCTTTGCAGTTTCTTGTGATCTAGTGGTGTTATTGAGCTTGGTTTTGGTAATGTAGCTCAATTACAGCGAAAATATTAACCACAATCAATATGGTTAGCACATTTTGTTGTTATTGAACTTGAATACATCTCCTTTTACAGGAGATTTCCTTGAACCAAAAGAATACATGAAAAAAAAATAAAGGTAGTGGACAGTGGGTCACACAGGAGTTGGACCCGAACTAAGGAGTGTGTTTTTGACCGCATAGCGTGTCGTGCAAAGGCAACTGTTAGTTCATGCTGGCCTGTCTAAACTGCAGAAAACCTGTGGGTGCAGAAGAGGCTGAAGATGGAGAGCCAAAGCCAGAGCTTTTTGTCATATTTCGTCAAAAGCAGACCGGGTGAGATCTGGAGACAAATAAAGTCACAGACAACCATTAATGATTCTTAGACAGAAACTATGCGACGTGCATTTCCTCCAGAAAGATCTTGTTGGCTCAAGGCCCTTGTTTAGTTCTCTTGTCTCAAGCTGAAATAAACTGACTGAGTTTGAGGTTTTAGGAAAGTGCAAACGCAGCCTGCTGTACAGTACAGGAGCGTGCATGAGAAAAAATAAAAAAATAAATGCAAAAGAGTAAATCCTTTTATCCCCAATATCTTGTTTTTCTATAAATGCCGGAAGGCAAAATTCTAAGATGTGATAACTTGCCCAGCCCTTTGATTGGCTGCTTCAATTAATGATGGCATAAACACGAGCATTGACAAACTGCTCTCCCACAACTTCAACACAGGAAATTTAAAGACTCAAGTCCAACAAATGCATCCTGCAAACTAAAAACTCTTTAATACCCGGGTTGGAAGGTGTAGACTATGTGCTGGCGTTCAACCGACTGAAACCAATAACCAAACAAAAAAAGGAGCAAAAGTCTGGCACAGTTAGAGCTGCAGCTTCTCTGCAGCAGCTAGAGTCAAATATGGACACAGGTTCACACAGTTCACCACATCTTGAACTTCTTCAGTTTCACTCCATATAAACTGGAGTCTTTAACCAATCGTGGCTGGCTTCAGTTTGTCGAGCCAACAAAGGTGTAACTTATTCAGCTCTGAACATTGTTCATTTAAGGTTTTATTGCACATATTCTGGCACGTCCTGTTGTAATCTAACACCGCAGTAGTTAGTTTGAGATATTAAACTCGGAGGTACGTACCTCATAGAGAACAGTGCCGTTACCGTGTAGCAAAGGACCATAGCAGATATAAGAATGGCCAACCACCCAGCCTAGGTCTGAAGCTGCCCACCAAACCTGCCGAAAAGGGATCAATGTACCGAGTTGTCACAACAAAAATGCATGAAAAATTAAGTAAAAACTCATTTTACTTAAAGGCATAATAAATGTAAACAGAACAGCCAGTTGTATAGTGAAAATGAAATGCCGCAAGTTGAGTGTAGGATTATTGTGTATTGTATGTTTAAATGGTAGTCAGAGGTCCTTTCAAGCAGAGAGCAGCCTGTCTCTATATGCTCTTTGTTCTTAAGCATGGCACCACCTCAGAAGCGGATGCTTTATTGTCTTACTTCTCCGGGACTGAGTCCATAAATATTTGACATGGTCCATTTCAGCATCACAGCATAGCCTGCAGTGTCTCGCACAACACCCTGGGAGGGGGGAGATAAGAAAAACATTAAGACCGGTGGCAGGTACTGCACTAAGCAAAGAAGCACGGGTTTAATATCAATTTTAAACAGGCCACTCAGCGCTGCCTTTCCAAAGGGGACGGCATCTTGTTTCCAGATGACTGCGTCTCAAACCGGCACCCACCTTTTATTAGTTAATAGCGCTGTCTAAACATTCCTGAGCAAAATAGTGTGTCCTAACATCCTCAGCTATTGAGTGTGCCTTCTCAAAGTTATGGTCTCCCTACAGCAATAACTGAGAAATTCATGGGAAATCGCACAGGAAAAAAACCGCACTATTAAGCCCAGGAACTAGCCAGCAGGAGGATATTTTATATCATCTGTTGGTCAAAGACAAAATGATGCTATTTGAAAAGAGCCAGGGCTTTTTTTTCCCCTCCATTTGAAATTGCCTGCAGGTAATTCCTCCTGCAAGAGGTTCAGCTCACACTCTGGAAAACTTCTGTCTTATTTATGTCATGTTGGGGGTGTTTAGATTGTGCCTGGACTGTTTTGCAGGCTCAAAGATCAGATGAGTCACACAGCTGCTGCATACAGAATTAGCAGCATCTAGTCAAACACAGCTAAAAGTAAACCCTGTAACTCATCTGCATGTGAGTGTATGGTTATAGCTGCCAGTACCTTTGGCGTCCCAGTGGTCCCAGATGTATAGAGTACATACAACAGATGGTTGGAGGGCAAAGAGGCACAGTCATGTGGCCTAGCAGTGGCCATCTCTTCATCCCAGTCCAGGCTCAACTCGCGACTCATCGATACCCTTTCCTGAAATACAAAGAAAAATAGAGATGATATACAGTCTTCACCAGATCTAATGTACCTGGCAGCACACCCAGGTATAAATCAGTCAAACGCACATGGATCTGAATGCACTCTGAAAAAGGGGAACTGTGTTAAAAATGGCTGTAATCCCTCAACGTTTAATCCAACTCTTGAATTCAAGCTGATTAACTGCACTTCAAATCATGTCACGACTGTTTGACTTCAAATCCACAGCAGCATTCTAAAGAGGCGAAAACACAAAAACTGTGCCATCATCCAAGTATTTATGGATCTAACTGCATGCTGCATGCAGCCAAACATATTTTGCCATTTATTTTGATTCTTTCACATCTGCGAAGATAACGCGATTCATTTGCTCGGCGACAGCCTCCTCCTGCTCACTGTGGAAGTTCAGCCGCTGCTAATGACTCGTTTTACGATCGCCACAGGATGAGACAGTCACTCGCCAAGCAGCCGTTCATATCTCCCAGTTATTTATTTGTCACAAAGTGTCACATAGATGAGCTCTCGGAGTGTGAACTGTGAGGATCAATTCAACTGACTCCGATGGTTAGAGCTGTGGTTTTGACCATCTTGCTTTACTTGCTTGCCTATGAAGTGAGTCAGTCTCACAAGTAAATATATATTCCTTTATTTATATTATGTTCCAGCTCCCATCTGTCATCGCAATCTGGCAAGCAGCAATCATTTCAGGTCATAGATTATTGCCCCTTACATCTGCTGCCGCTGACATTTCTTCTCATTTCAAACACAGACGTCTCTTTGATACTGCCATTAACATTTAATCACTTTTGGAAGGATAAAAAAATCCTCAAATCTTTTTTTTCCCCCTCCCCTCCCTTGGCTTCCATAAAAGAGTGTCAAGATCAAGACATCATCAATATCACTCAGACTCTTGAGGCAAAGGCACATCTCCCACAGACATTTTAGCTCTCCTAAGCGCATTACTTTTTACTCACTTCACTGAAAGCACAGACAGAGCACCATCTTGGCTGAATTAACAACGCTTACCGAACAGTTACCTCCAGCTTACCGAATGCAATCATTTTGCAAAGCAGCTGCAACTATCTAAAGTAGTGGTTCACAGATTTTTATGGCACTGAGCCGCCAGTGAATTCCTTGTATACACATAATTCCCTGTGTCCGACGTGTATATAATCTCCCAAAAATCCAAACAGCGCTCTTAATTCACCGGATCCTTTCCTGACAGACAAGACCAGACAGGCGCAACAAGATAAAAATAAATTGTGCAATGTTCATTTTATTTCACCACAGGGCTAGAGAGCAGTAGCTCAAACAGAGGCACGGATGGTAGGAATTCAGTTCGAGTAAAGAAACGACAATACTCCGCAATCTCCGTTAGAGGAAATGTTAAGTTCACCAAACATAACATTCAGCAGTGTTTAATTTACGTCTGTATAAAAGTGAAGCAGAACCAAACATCTGCTCGCTGTCACCGAGCAGCAGCTGAAAATGGCTCCAGGCTGAAGCCAGCACGGAAATGCCTTTAAGTTCGAACCTGGCAACAGCCGAGAAGTGCAGGCTCCACAAAAATCCCTGCCTCCGACTGACACCGTCGATGATTTCAATGAGTCATTAAGTGTGCTGCTGCTTACTGTGGAAAAGGAAAATAACATTTTTGCTACGGTTTTTACCATGTTCGGCCTGTTGTAGATGAGGACTTTCGTGGGCCTGTGAGAGCTCATCTCCAGGGCCTTCTTCACCAGAGGGATGTACTCCACTCTTCTGCCTGGCTCGATGCCAAATGAGGCTGTAACCAACAGCTTGGGCTGAAAAACAGATCATTTGGGAATTTGGGTTCAAGTGTAACAAGCTTATAGCTCACTCAGGTATGAATCAGTCATTTTTCTGCCTTTCTACCAAACGAGCCATTACAGGTTTAAGTCAAATGTAGTTCACAAACTCTGCACAAGATCTCAGGTGTTCCTACAAATTCTTGGATTTGGAATGTACATAGACCAAAACGGTAAAGGACACTTCTCCTATTTGGCAAACACATTTTGGTTCCAGTATTGGTTATATTCTCTTGAAAGCTTCTCTATGTTTAGTTTCGGTAGGTTATGCAAAATTAACATTTCACAACAAATTTGTTCTGCAAAGCGACAGAATACACGCTTTATGCTAAACTGCATAAGCATTTATTTCTGTGTTAAAATGTCATAGTTTACTCTTAATTGTCCCCTAAGAAAGAAAGCAATGCTCACTGCAGTTCTTTCACATTTGTAGTATAAAGACGTCTCTTCCACATTAATTTTTCTATTCTCATATTATTATTATTATTATAAAATCTCACTGGAGACGCCAGGGAAATCATTACGAGTGGTTCTGAAAGGAAAGGCGAGATCTTTGCATTGTAGATGAAAAAAGACATTTCTTCTGGCTCTAGTGTTTAAGAAGTATTTAAGTATTTTAGCTAATGGCACATAAAAGTCAGAATTGTCCAATTACTGGTATTTGCAGTGATCCGCATCTGCTTGCATCTGCTTACTTCATGTAAATACAGAAAATGAACAAAGACCTAGCCCAACTTCAGCTGGTCCCTGGTTTTTAATAAGTACGTATATAATACAGTTTATGCAGTTGCTGAGGCTCAGAAAAAAGATCAATTTTAAGCACAAGGTGAAAAAAGCAGCGCCTAACCTTAGCGTGATCGATGCGGACAGACAGCTCTTTAGAGGCGAAGCCGCCAAAAATGAGGCTGTGTGGGGCACCGATCCGTGCACAGGCCAACATGGTGAACATGGCCTGTGGCACCATGGGCATGTAGATGACAACAAGGTCTCCTTTCTGTACCCCATTCTTCACCAAGACTCCTGCTAACCTGGACACCTGGATTGCAGAGACACATGGAGACAAAGCACAGATTTCTTTCTAAGTTTCCAATCCTTTTTTTTTTTTTTAAATTCCTGCATGAATTATTTTTAAATGTCTGCTCACAACAAACGTAACCAATATGCTAGCACAAAGCAGAGCTGGTAACAAGGGTGGAATAGTTTTATGCATGCCGCATATGTTGTTGGATAATTAATGTAGAAAGAAATGCTTAATTTATCCATGGTCCAATTACTAATTAGCTTCAGTTGGAAACAATCTAGAAAGAAAGTCAGTATCTCTTAAATTTCATTAAATGTCATTAAGCCCTTGGGCCAAAAAGACTCCCAAAAAGCTATGACAATAGTTTTTTTCATTTAAAAAAAAAAAAGAAAAAAAAAAAGATTGAGTTGTTTTAACAGAATAATTGGTCCAAATGTCAATCATTTTCCCTTCTTTCTTCTCTTTTGTTTGCTATCTATATGCTAATTAGGATTCAAACCAGCCGTCATGCTACAAAACTCTTGGCCAACTCTTTGATATTTAATGTCCAGAGAGCATTACAGTTTCTACTTTAACATGCTCATAATCCCAGCAAAGTTTGTTTCATGCTGCAAAATAATGTCATATCATACTGCCATCTATGTCCATGTGCTGTTCAGTTTTGTGAGCTCGGTTTTTATTAAAACTATTTACCTGGTCCTGAAGTTCCCTGAAAGTGATGATCTGTTTAGTTCCGGTCACCGGGCTGTCGTATATGATCGCAGGCTGCTCTCCACGGCCGCTTTCTACGTGTCGATCGACGGCATTGTAGCACATGTTTAGCTTTCCGCCGACAAACCTGACAGAGACATACACCTTCAAACAACAAGTAACGGACACATGAACAGAGACACATGTCAATACTATAGTTACCAAACATGTTTCAGGTGACCAGTCATGTGCCAGCACCTTTACCAGCATATAATGTGGGGTTTTGCCTGGTTTAGAGCTCATTTTTTTAAAACAAAAACCAGTCTGAGCCAAACATATGCAGCTGCTTTTGACAGTTGCACACAGTGAACCAATGTTCTTGATAAGGCAATCATTTGAGCTCATTCTGGCACTGCGCATATGGATAAAGAGCAGCAGGCAGGTTGAGCAGATGGTGTCTGGGATCTGCTGTTTTGGAAGCCACATGGACATACAGACATGGTGGCCGTGTCCTTCATCTTCACTGCAGCACATTCAGACAGCTCTCTTTTCCTAGGATACATGGTATAGCTGACAACTCCACCCACGAAACAAAAGAAAAAAGAAAGGAATTTCAGTTTATACTATTCTCAGTGCAGGCGGCTGTGAGGGTGTATGCAGGCTGCTGTGCCACATGCTGTTTTGTTTTACAGCTAAATTTTGGGTTGTTTTTTTTTCCTGTAAGCATCCTATAATTTACTTTCACATCTTTAACTGTGGATGCAGGTATAATTACCCTTTTTTATTTAATTTATTTATCTTTTGCACATTGTAGGAAACTAACCACATTAATCACCTCACATCCTTTGATAGTTTTAATGGTTTCCCAATTTTTTGTTTTTTTAATAAGTGCCCTGAACAAGTCAGGCCAAACCATAACATCTGTTCTGAAAATATTACTTTTAAATATTTAACAGAAAAAATATTGCTTTTAAAATGTGGGATTTTGATACTTTGTCATATCTAATTGTTGCTAGTGGCTGCTTGGCCAAAACTAGTGGTGTTTCAAGCTCTGAGACAATTTTCTTTTTTTTTTTTACTAACCCTTTAAGGTGGCAGCAACCTGAAGAAACGACTTGTGTTTTATTTCTTTGATAAAATATATATATATATATTTATCCTACTTTTTGGAGCTTAGGGGGGAGGATAGTACTCAACTTTTGGAGTACTAGTGCAACCTGGTACTCCATTACAATATCCTCTCCATGCCCACAACATGCACACATATACACTCATCATCATCATCTCCTATGTACACACAGTATTGTTTCCCCAAACATATATCATACTTCTGACTCTTGACTGACCCTTGATTTCCTAATTATTCCTCAAGCCTCATCTTGGGGCCCATCCTTCCTCACTGACATGCCCATTAAGTTAACTGTTCTCACTCTCACAGGGAACCGCCTTAAATATTCAATCATATTCTTTCCCTCTGTAAAACGGAAAGAATTGCATTTTAGTAACTCAAAAATGGTCCAAGGAAGAAACAGTGGTGACCCAGTGACAGCGTCATGAGTGGGCAAGGCTCAATGATGCACATGGGAGAAGAACGCTGTAGTATCAAATTGCCAAAAAAATGTAATGCTAGTTCCCTTCTATGTTGTATTCTGTCACCATATTAAAGTATCAGAATACACAGTGAATTGCCATTTTTTTGTTGTTGTTTTTTTTATATATGGCTGCATAAAACCAGTCAGTGTCCCCATGCTTACCCCCCAACCACTGCCGAAACCAAGAAGAAGGAGGACATGAGCATCAGAACTGGACAGCTGGACAACAGACTCTGATGAGTCACAATTTCTTTTACATCATGTGGATGGCTGGGTGCTGTGCATTCTTTACCTGGTGAACAGCTGGCAGCAGAATGCCCTATGAAAAGAATGCAAGCCTACTGAGAGTCCATGCCTCCACATTTCTGTTTCGAAAGGGGGCTCCATAAAAAAAGGAGGCAGGTGGTCATAATTTAATACCAGACAGATATACATCCCACCAATTAATGCTTTCAAAGTGTTACCATATAGGGGTTCTCCTGGGAACTTCCCTGCTCTAAATACCTGTTTGAATAATCACCTGGGTAGTGAACGTTGCAGCTGTCTGATAAGAGCACCCAGGATAGTGCAATAAGCAAAAATGTGGTTCGTTTTCTAGGGTCAACGCGATTCCATAGACTTTCCATCAACAGCAGAGCCACTTGAAGTCTACACACTTCCTGAACGTCACCCATTGGCTCTCGGCAAAACTACCAATCACAGAAGAAATAGACGTTCCTCCAGGGATCGCTAACAACTTAATAACCAATCATAACAGAGCTGACGTTTCCCCTTCCTAAACCAACCACTCACAACAGGACAACCCTCCGGGTTATCCAGTTGTTAATCCCCCCCACCACCACCACCCCAATACAGTGATGTAGTATAAAGGTTTCGTTGTAATAAATTAATCGTACAGTTACGCGCATAAAAGAGTAAAATGACGAAGCTATGTGGGCTGGATGAAGAGAAAATAAACCACAATATCGTGGTTTCTATGCGAGTTGCCCAAAAGTTATTCATTACTAAGCAAATAACTTCAGGGTAATGAGATTATTGAGGGCGTGTGTCCACTCTATGGGATATTATCATACATGAGAGAACGCGTTGATTTCACTCGTGAGACAGGTGGCGGTCACGCACAGGTTGTTCACCACGTTTCATTCCAACTCGCCCACACAACATTTAACACCAGCTGTTGTGCAGGTCACGTGTAGTTCACACTGAAACCTACCAGTTTGGGAACACCGGATCCTCAACGTGCAGAGTTTTACTCCACGGCTCAAACCACTTTATGTCGCGCCCCACGTCAGCCCAAAACTTCTCGGGGTTGTCCCTGGCCGCCGCGAAGACTCGGCTGTACGCAGCATCAGACGCATACTTTCTGCAGCACTGCGTGGGGAAGTGCGACTTGAAACTCCCAGATGCTTCACCTGCATTTCGCTTTGCTGCTGCACAGAGAGTCCAAGCAAACCTCCCGAGTGTCTTCTTCCGCAGGACAGGAGCGCAGTTATTCAGGCGCTGGACTGAGTGTTTGACCCTGAGAAGCATTGTTGCTGGGGGCGTTTTTTGAACTTCCACGCTGCTTTCGCGCGTCCCTCTTGTTTTTGCGTGCAGCTTTGGAGCCCGCTTCTACAGTTCAATGCTAAACGACGTCATGCGGGCCCACTTAAAGGCAGAGGACTTCTGCAGAAATTCTTAACAAGTGCCTCAGGGAAGGCTGTGAACTATGAACTGGATGTAGTTGATGCTGCAGGAGGATTTTAAAACACAGTCAGCATGATTACACAACGCATAAGCTCCACCGCAGCTTTCTTAAACCAACTATTTTGGGTGGGAAATAATCCTAAGACATTTTTCTAACTTTAAGCAAGAATTCTGCCGTGCAGTGCAAAGAAGAGAGGAACATTGTTGATAGCAACTGTACCTCCTGTCCACCGGATTTATTTATTTATTTATTTTTGTTTACTTCCAGCATCATTAAATTTTAATTGTCCTCGAGGTAATATCAATACTCCCCCTTGAGTGGAAAAATGCAAATAGCCCCACATCTGCTAAAACTGATCATGGCGTGCATCCATTTGTTTGCTTGTGGGTATTAATGGGAATAATTACTCGTGTAGAGTCATTTAAAAACCTTAAAAATATTAGCATCTTTCAGTAAGCCGATTTTCCAATACAATCACAGCACATGAGCAGCGGCAGCAGCTCTTTGTCCTCTGAGATTGTGCCGCCGCACTTCTTTCCCTATCACTGGTAAATACCCATAATACAGCTGACCCCTTGAAGAAGTGTGCCCCTCGTTAAATAACTCATCCATCTGATATTTCAGATCACCTGTTTATGTTTATATGTGCTGAGCAGTTGCGCTGTCCAGTATAGGTGGTGCAATGACAGTTTCGTTATTGGTATCAGAACGATATCAGCATTATAAGATCGATACTTTCTTTAAATCCTATGTGTTTAGTGTGTAGTCCACTGATGTCTTACATTGATTATTTTTGGTAATGAAAAAATATACCTCAAACGTGCGCTATGAAAAGTATCTGGACCTTCTTGTGTTGACTGTGACTTCTGTTTTATTTATAGCCTCCTACAGTACATTTAAACACAGAGAGATCCTTTAGAGACAGGAACATTTACATTGCTGTTTACATCTCAAAAAAACCCCATGGTATCAGATGGATACCGAAATTTGCACTGTGGCACAGCACTACTTTCCACCAGAGGTGGCCCACTTGAGTTGGATTGCAGCTACTGGCTCTATGACACTTGTCATCATTTCAGTAAAAGTGGGGGGAATAAAAAGTTAAATCTTTATCCCAGCTGGCAAAAGATATCAGTAATCAGCAACTGATTGATGCCTTCTTACACCCATCACCTGCACGTCTTATCCTGAAGGTATTTGAGCATAACAGAACTATAATTTTCTTTCTTTTTCAGTTTTAAATTAAATATTGATTCAAATCTCATCATATTTCAACCATGCTTTCTCCTCTCATGCTATAATTTGTTTGGCCAAAAGGTCTCACTAAATCACAGCAAGGAACTGCCATATATATATATATATATATACACATTAGAGTAGATGGTGTTGGCTGAATATGTATCATTCTCTCTGGCACCTTACGTGCATGGACCACTATCTATTAACCGCTTTCACAGGCTAATCAGACCCTAAACTTTTCATGGCTTTATATAAGCCCTCCGTCTTGATTTGATGTGATGAGTGTGAATGTTTTAAAGCAGAAATCAGCCGACTGCCCTTCAGAAACCGATGGAGAAATGATTCATCACTCTAGCCCGCAGTGTCTTAATGTAGTTTGAAAATCAAATTTGTTTGAAGATAATGATCGCTGTTTTACATTCTGAATGGGTTTTAGATGCAGTTGTCAGAAAGACTAACGAAAGATTTCAGTCAATATCATTCATGGTTTTAAGTGAGTGATACTTCATAACGATTTATTAGAGCTGAGTGAATTTACTTTCAGCGATTGCTTCATATACAAAATACTAGAGGCACCCAGGCATTACAGGAAATAAATAAAGGTGAAAGCCATTACCCCTTGTTAATTATGCTCTTAGTGCATTCATGATAAAAGAGGAGATGAGATGAAGTTGGACTGAGGTATATTTCAAGGCTTTGACAAAGCTCAATATACATTGGGATGTATTCATGTTTTCAGTTTGCAGAAAGCATCAGGATGGAATTATGATGCCGTCACACAATCAGCCATTACTATTTGACAAAGTAAATTGGTGCTGTTTCCCTGAAGGGGGCGTCAGTAGTCTGTTAGAGCTTGGGTGCCAAATTTGTTTCTGTCCATGGGCCACCTACAGCTCAGTTTGAACTCTCAAGTGCACCAAGCACTTTATCTTGAAAAAAAAGAGACAAAAAAAAAACAATTCACAAAACAGTTATTTCCACTTCAGTTTCAATGTAAAAAATGTGCATTCTGGGAAAAAAAATCATTAAATGAACCGTCCAGAAAAACATCCTGAACATCCTCAGATGTCTTAAGAATAAATATGTCTCAGTTTTCCCGCATCCATTCAGTCTGCTGTCAGCACCACGAAATGCTGCTGTCATAAATCAAATAATAGTGTCAGCACAGTTCCAGCTCTGTGGCTTAACCACCTTACTTCAGTGTGACAAAGCAGGTCATGGCAAATGTCTTTGCCAGTAAGAAGACACTAACACTGCTGATCATTCAGACTTCTGGCTCGAATGAGTTAGTTTGCACAACCAATCTGATTGCATTGTCCATTCTAAACAACTCGCAGCACAGTGCTGACTGGTGTAAATTAAACGGAAATGTCGCTTCTTTCTCTTCTGTTTTCACCTTTCTGTCTCTGCAGAGCTGTCCACTGCAGTGGGCTTTATAATGTGCAGATTATAGCTGACACGCCATATGTTTCACACTCTGTATTAGAGGTTTAAATCCCATAGTGGTGCTGCTGAAGTGGGTCACAATCAGTGTGACAGGCTTTGTTCAATATAGTATTTGAAGAAGGTAGGGTTCTCTGTGTGCTGGCCTGCCTGACTTCAGAAGGCCAATTACATTCACCTGCCACTTTATTAGTACACTTCGTGAGTATCTGGATTCTTTCTGCCTTAAGAACTTTTTTTTGTCTTCACGGCATAGATTCAATATGAATAAACCATTATCAAAGATCTCGGTCCAGATAGCATGCCATCAGAAAGAGTTTACACTATGTTCATCAAGGGATGGAGATGGTCAGCAACAAAACTCAGGTAGGCTGTTATGTTAAAATGAAGCTCAGGTGGTACTAAGCAGCCCAAAGAGTGCCCAGAAAATATCCTCCACACCATCAGACGCAACCAAGAGGCTGAGCTATTGCAGGATGGATCCATGCTTTCTTGTTGTTTGCACCAAATTCTGATCCTACCATCTGAATGATGCAGCAGAAATCAAGGAAGGGGATGTAAGGGGAGAATCCCAGTAGATCAGCAGTTTCTGAAGTACTCCGACCAATGTCTGATACAAGCTAGCCACATTTAAAGTCACTTTAAATCACCTTTCTTCTTCATGCCAAGTTTGAACCTTGTCTTAACCTTGTCTGCATGCCTAAATGCAATAAGTTGATGCCATATGATTGGCTTATTAGATATTTGTGTTAATGAGCTGTTGAATAGATGTACCTAATAAAGTGACCATTGAGTGTAAATGTCACACGACTTGTGTCTTTTTTCTTAGCAGATATTAACAATAAAGAAGAAAGCTGATTTTCTGTCATATGAACGGAAGAACAGCAGATTAACAAACTCTTGGTTATTACAAAACAAGGATCAGTTTTGGTACTCTACTTAACACAAAATATCCAATAAATACATTATTTTCAAGACGTTATCGCTCAACAGGAAATTTTCATCTTTTTTTTTCCCACTGTGGCATGCCGGATGGATCACAGTGCGGCACAAGGATTGGAGTCAATGGCTGACAAATTTAATAATGGCCTGTTTTAATAAGCAGTTGTTACCTGGAAATGAAACCCATGTTATCATTTAGTGAAATACTTATTTCCCTCACCGCAAAACCACCGTCGGATAAATT